TTTTTTTTTTGTCTTTCTTTCTCCTATAAATAGGAAGCCCATAGTCGAAAAAAAGGGAGTTTTCCCCTTTTCTCCTGCAAAATAATTCTCTCTTTCTTAATATAAGCACTGTTTTTGATATATAAAATGGGTTAAAGAGCTTGAAGATACTCTAGTTCGTCCGTACAAAACAAATCTACATGTATTTATTTTTGTTTCTCTGTCTATTTCTTTTGTTCTCTCAAGACCCCTACCACTCTGATCCTTAGACATGCTTTAAAAGATAAATTTAGATTCAACATCCTAAAACTCTGTTCGTCTCTACGAGGCAAGTCTATACATTTTATTTATTTTTCCTTCTTTGTCTATTTCTTTTTCTCCCTCAAGGTCCTATGACTCCAATTAGTGGGCATGTCTCACAAGACAAATTTGAATTCAACGAATACATAAATATCAAAAAATTTATTGCCAAACATGTATAAAACTATAAGTTCTGTAAAATATAGAAAAGAGAAATTGCTCAATTCAAACATTTGATATAATAAAATGAAAAATTAAATTAAGTATAATTAGTAAAAAATTAGAAAGATAAATATAATAATTAAAATTTAAAAAATTTTGCAATTAAGATTTTAATTTCTGGCAATCAAATACAGGCCACCAGAAATTTGGTATATACAAATCAATACCATCATTCATCTATTTTTCAAATTCTAACTCAAATATCAAAATTCATGGTAAAACCCGGCCTTTATTTTTCATTTTTATCATATTCTCAATAATTTATTCATGACAAACATAAATACAATTGATCATTTGAATATTTAATTTATAAATATTAATACTTTAATGATCTGCATGTAATTATTTCATATTACATAAAAAATTTTAATGAACTAAAAAAAATTATCAATTTAGCCCACGAGTGTGTGAACAAGACGGAGTCCAAACAAGAAATAACCAGTCAGTTTATTTGAATCAGCTGGTCATTAACAAATTATTATGACAAATTTTTTATCAACATAAACTGGATAAGTTACAATTGCCTTAAACAGATCTTAAACATCCTCTGTGAGTAAAAAAATAATGATAATAAAAAGAAAATCCTCACTCAAACCGACCCACGACCCGAAGTTGGATTTGGAAAATGGAGACCCTTTTGGGTGCTCTTTCCCGTACGCTCCTGCACTTTCCTCCCCCACCTTGTTACGGGAGACCGAACAGGGAGAGAGAAGGGCTGATGAGGATGCCCTTCCTCTTCTCTCTACATCTACTTCTTATCTTCTAATTTTCACCTAGCCATGGCGATTCAAAACCCCACTTCACTGTCGTTCCTTCCATCCAAACCCTCATTGCCCGCCTCTCACCCACGCGCCTCTATCTCAGGGCCCTTCCTCCGGCTGGGATGATAAGGTAGTCGGTCGGAGCCCTGGGGTGAGGACCAACGCCCAGGAGGATGATAAGGGCGTTGGAAGAACGAAAAAGAAACGATGGTGGTGGTGGGCTCGGGACAGGGAGAGCTATCTGGTCGATGATTCGGACGCTCTCCCGCTTCCCATGACCTATCCTGGTTCCTCGCCTGCTAGTCCGGAAGAGATCGACCGGCGGGTCCAATGTGATCCGGATGTCCAGGTTGGCTTTCTTTTCTACTCATTTGCTCATTTTTTAGCATTTTGTTTTCTGATGCTCAGGCTTTGTTGTATGCCCTCAGGAGTGCAAGGAAGTTGTTTACGAGTGGACAGGGAAGTGCAGGAGTTGCCAGGGAACGGGGTTTGTTAGCTATTACAGCAAAAAGGGGCGTGAGACAATCTGCAAGTGTATTCCTTGCCTTGGGTTAGGTAAGGATGCCGTCTTTTGTTGTTCAAGCTGTTATTTGGCTACATGCCGTGTTTTCCCAGCTTTGGCTGGTTCTTTTTGCTCATGTTAGGAAGAAAAAAAAAAGTGTTAGATTCTACTGCTTCTGTTCAGTTGGGGATTAGGTTATTAAGTGGCTTAAAGATAACTCCATCAGTAGTTTCAGCCTTGCTGTCTATTCTCTGGATTTACCTAAAAGCTTTTTGTCAGCAACAATTAAATATGAATTAATCCCATATCCTGGTTCTGTTTGGTCTGGAATCTATTTAACTAATTTTTTATAGTTTAATTTTTTGTTATTTTGTTGTTAATTATTTGTTCTGATCCTGAGTGTAGTTGCACTTGATCCATTTATAAGCTTAGCGGACATAAAAGTTAACATTACTTAGAATTGATGATCTTATGGTATATCAGTCATAAATGCACAAGTGTTTATGAAATATTATCTATATTTGTTTGGCTTCATCTATTTCAGTTTCCCTTAATATCCCCACTATTAATTAAGGGGAGTAATTTAGAAATGTGAGAACTAATAAACTGTCTTACTATGATTTGTTCCATTGTGAGGCAGGTTACTAAGGAACTATTTAATCATTTCCTATCACTTATGCAGATTATTGGTTATTTCATTCATTGAATACTTGAAAACTAGTTGATGTTGGTATTGCAATGGTTGTCCCTCAGTCATTGGGCTAAGATTTTTTATCAACATATATGGCCATTTGAGTAATGGGTCCATTTTGTCCCTGAATGAGGTGTACGTCCTTATTCATTTGGTTCAGGTTAATCAATTCATATTGTGGAAATCACTTGTTTTAAATTTGCTTGAATCCTCAAGTCACTTGAGATTGAATTCACATGAATCCTCAAGTTGCTTCAGAGGTGGCGGTGACTTTCATTAATAAGTTGCTAAGTTTGGCCATAGAATTTACGAAAGTGCCTACTCACTGAGAGTACTTGTCTGAAGTACTCATTAATTTTCCTATTCTCATATTCAATGTGGATTTATGCTGGGCAGGTCTACTATGGAACATTTATTGAGAGGTTTGATGGAGAAGTTCAAAGATAATAAAGAGGATTTACATATGAATTTTATTGATTTAGAAAAAACTTATGATAAGGTTCCAAGAGATATTCCTTGGAGAGTTCTTGAGAAGAAAGGTGTTGATATGACTTATATTCAAGTCATTAAAGATATGTATACAAAAACTGTTACTTCTGTTCGAACAGAAGGAGGATTGACCAAATATTTTCCTATTAATATTGGTTTACATAAGGGACCAGCTTTAAGCCCATATCTTTTTGCTTTAGTTATGGATGGCCTTACTGCACACTTACAAGAGGATGTACCGTACCTTGGTGTATGCTTTTTTCTGATGAAATCCTTCTTGTGGATAAGACGAGAGAAAAAGCTCTGGAAAAACTTGAATTATGGAGGTCTACCTTGGTGTCTAAAGGCCTTCGTTTGAGTAGAACAAAAACTGAATACATGGAATGTAATTTTAGTAGTATTAGATTTAGTGACAGAAATGTAACTATGGGTGATCAAATTATTAAAAGGTGTGAACGCTTTATTTGGGGTCTATTGTTCAAAGTGATGGTGATATTGATGGGGATGTCATTAGTAGAATTCAAGTTTGTTGGTTGAAGTGGAGGAATGCTTCAGGCCTATTGTGTGATAAAAAAGTACCGCTTAGAAAATTTTATAAGATGGTGGTGAGTCCTGCAATACTTTATGGTGCGAACGTTGGCCTTTAAAGAGAGGCATAAAACTAAGTTAAGTGTTGCCGAGATGAGAATGATTAGGTGGATGAGTGACTTTACACTTAGAGACAAAATGCGAAATGAATATACCTGTGATAGGGTTGGTGTAGCTCAAATGACGGATAAAATTAGAGAGAGTCGTCTTAGATTGTTTGGTCATATTAAATGTCGACCATTTGATGATCCAATTAGAAGAGTAGATGTTTTAGATTAGACTTGTGTTAAGAAAGATAGAGGTAGACCTAGGATGACTTTGGCATATTGTATAAAAAATGAACAATTTGTTCGCTTAAAAAATTGTTCATGTTTAAAATTGTTCGTGTTCGGCTCGTTAGGCTTAACGAACGAGCCGGACCCCAGCTGCTTCACGGGGCGATTCAACAAGCTCAAAATAAACTATGTATTCCTGTAGTATAACATTCTTATATTTCAGCTCTAAAAAATTTCTCAATTTAGATCAACTCTTGTGAAGTATTGTCGAGATGAGAATGTTTAGATGGATGAGTGGCTTGGTACAAAGAAAATGTGAAATGAATATATTCGTGATAGGGTTGTTGTAGCTCAAATGACGGATAAAATTAGAGAGAGTCGTCTTAGATTGTTTGGTCATATTAAATGTCGACCATTTGATGATCCAATTAATCTAATTAGAAGAGTAGATGTTTTAGATTAGACTTGTGTTAAGAAAGATAGAGGTAGACCTAGGATGACTTTGGCATATTGTATAAAAAATGATCTTAATTTATTAGAATTAAATGAAAATATAACGCTTGAACATATGACACGAAATAGGACACAATGGAGAAAGGATTCCTGACCCCATGAACATATGACACTAAATAGGACACAATGGAGAAAGGATTCCTGACCCCACTTAGTGGGATAAAGATTTTGTTGTTGTTGTTGTTTTATGTTTTCTCCAACTTCTTACTTGTCTTCTCGGTTACACTACCACCTGCAAACAAGTTCAACCCATTTTTTTAATGTAATTTTATAGTGTTCCCGACTTTGTGATATATATGATCTGTTATAGGAATTATGTGAAATTTTAGATAAAATCTCTTGCCTTACCAAATTTGTTTTTCTGTAGCTCAACTCGTCCCACTCTCGTCTATTCAACAAGATTTGATTGGGTTCTCGATAAACTAATTTTCTATGAAATTTTTCGCGATATAGTTTCTCTCTTTCTCTCGAATTTTGAGTGAGATTCATTTCTCTAGTAAGTTCTCGGTATTCTTACATGGACAACTTTTTATCCAACACCCTCTTTTATGCTGTGGGCGTAGAATATATGTTCAGTAAGTATAAACTATAACCTGGATTGCCGTGAAGGTTGTAAGATATCTCTCACCCTTGAGAAACTTTAACATATGGAGGATTGTTTAATGAAGATGATACAGAAGGGTTTTGAGCTCTTTTGGTAAGCATCAACTCTTTCCACATCATTTCTATCTTCAATGAGAATTTCTTGTGTCAATCAGGTGTTGATGTAGCTCAACTTCAAGGGTTTTTACTATGAATTTGTTTTAAGATGACAAATCTTATGTGTATGAGGAGATCACTTTCGAGACTTTTTTTTCATTGTTCCACAAAGCATGGGGCTCAAATAAATAACAGTTTTTCTATCCAGATCTTGGAAGCTCATCCACCACTGAAATTCAACATGTTGATGTTGTATTTGTACAAGGAGAATATGGATCCCTCTAATAATATCACTCTCTTTGATTTGACTAATTATCTTCTCCAATTGAGCAAGGAGGTGCAATGCTCTTGCTTTTCATCGAGGAGCATTGCTTTTTTCGCTGAATTTAAGCAGCAATTCATTACTCAAATATCCACTACCCATAAGCAGCTGAAATGTTCTCAATTTTTTGAACATGAGATAAGTGGTAGAATGCCGCTCCATTTTTTTTTTTCACACATTTTCCTTTACGAGGGATTGATTTCAAGTTGATTGGTGATCTATTTATTTAATTTTCTTAGGATGGCTGGAAAGCATGATTCTTTTCCCTTCACGGAAAGCATGATTCTTTAATCTATTTATACTTGAATCATGATGGTAGCTTTACTTTTAGCTGATTATTACTTGATGCTATTTTCTCCTGAATAATTACAACGGTTACCTAGGAACTTGAATTTTTAATAATGGATTGCCTATTTGAAAACTCAATGTCTCTCCATCGCTCTTTGAAGGAAGAAAAGTGGATACGTTTAACTTTTTTAACTTGACATTGTTTTTTACATCCTGTAGCTAGAGGACTGCTCTGCGTGGCTATCAAAATTGAATCAATCAGTTTAGTTCATCTTTGGATGGCTAGAATCATACAATTAAGAAACCATTATTTCTTTTTAAACAATTGATAGTTCCTTGCTAGTCTGCTAGACACTGTCTGCGCTTATAGACCTACTCCTCGTTTTCTTTTTATTAATGGTTCTCAAGGTGTTAGCTCCTCCTGGTTAGTCAGAATTTTTGTTTCATGTGTGGTTTTCATATAGTGTTCCTTGGCTGCTTTGATAATTACTTATAATCTTGATGGAGTCCCATGATCACCCAAGCACATGGAATACCGATCTCTTTTTTGCTTCCCACTCTTCTGATGTATTTACTTATAGTTTCTTTTCTGTTTTTCTGATTTATTTTCATGTAATCTTCCTTCGTGGTTTTTATACAGTGTTCCTTGGCTGCTTTGATAATTACTTATAATCTTGATGGAGTCCCCTTGATGGAGTCCCATGATCACCTGGCTGCTTTGATAATTACTTATAATCTTGATGGAGTCCCATGATCACCCAAGCGCATGGAATACCGAGCTCTTTTTTGCTTCCAACTCTTCTGATGTATTTACTTATAGTTTTTTTTCTGTTTTTCTGATTTCATTTTCATGTAATCATCTTTTTTATTAATATAACGCCGAGTGTGACTCTCAAATTCCAAATAAAAGAAAAAAAAAAGAAAAACTACTTGAGGGTACTTTATCTAGTAATATGATTGGGCACTGAATTCTATATGCCACCTTGAAATGCTAGGGCTTATTTGGGATCAATTTTTTTTTTTCTTTTGTTTTTAAAAACACATTTATTTAGTGTGTTTATACATATTCTTTTTTTTAGTTTTGAAAACAAATTAGGATGTCTTTAAAAACACTCAAAAGAATTTTTAGTTATTTTTAGTGTTCTTGAAAACAATCACGCTTTAATCAAATAACCAAATATGTTTTCT